CACCCACACTATTAAGCTTGTAATCCGCTTGGAATTTATTTATTACACGCACTCTCTGCACAAAATGAACAATTATATATAGGTTGACAAAAGTAAGAAAGCCCATGTATAAATACGAAAAGAAAATTCTTAAAATGAACATCACATAAAGTAACATGAAAGTTAAAATAACAGAGAGTGGGCTAATTCCTCATATATGAAAGAGTCGAAAATACCTCTCGATAGAGAGAATGACAAGAGAGGAAAATACCTATACAAGCAGAAGAACAGAAAGGAAAACATACACCAAAACGAAAGAGAATATAACACATACGATCATAATGCTGATCGTTCTTACGAACTGCATTTGGGTAAGATGCGGGGTATAATACACGCCCACACCCACCGGTCCCATCATTTTGAAAATCTTGGAGATGCCACGAATTCAGATTATACATTATTGTATTCAAGGTAATTTTAATGACAATTAAAAACGACAATATTAATTTGAAGAATTTTTACTGAATTCAGCAAAAACACAATTATGATCTGTCACTCCTTTAGTATCAATTATCGAACATTTTGTCAAATTCCATCGTTCATTATTACGAGGATGTACATAAATATAATCAATACGTGTTCCATATGCACATGTTGATAATTGTTCATCTTTTATTTGTGGATTTATTAATTTAAATGCATCTTGATAATTCCATTGATGTGTTATTAAATGAGTTAAATCAAAACGAGGTTTTTCCCAATTCGATTTTTCACGTTTATTGACAATAATCTTTTCATAATAATTATCCGAATAATCATCTCTTGTTAAAGAATTCATATCACCCATAAGTATATCAATATCCGGATCATATGGTTTAAATTCTTTAATTTGTTCTAATCGAACATCTTCTTCCATATGATCTAAATGTGTCACAGCACATGTAAAATCATCTATAGAACATTGAAGAAAAGATCTAGTACCACCTTGACAAATTAAAGTTGATTGTTGATTTGAATAAGATTGAATTGGATAACATGATAGAATACCATTCCCAGCAGCATTTCCATTCCATGGTCCATAGATTGAATAAGGTAATGACATATCTTGAGAAAATTTCTTCCATTTATCATTGTTTTGTATTTCTTCAACAGCAATAAAATGTAAATTTAATGGTTTAAGAATCGATACTAATTCATCGATATTACTTTGACGATTTTCAGGCTTACGAAAAGAATGTACATTGATTGTAGCTAAACGAAATATCGACATTTTCGTTTTTGATATGACATTGTTTACGTTAAAACGAAATTATTTTCTTTCTTCTTTTGTTATAACGATGATGCATTTCGATTGGATAGATTCTTAGACATATCACACTATCACAAGTTGTTTTGTTAGTATAAAAAAAACTTTTCACTGGCATAAATGATGTTAATTTGATATCAAATTCAGTGTGATCTTTTCAACGAATCAATACTATATAAATTCATAGTGGTTTACATATTTTATCAATGAGAGAAACGAGTGAAGTTTATTTTATCAAAATATATTTCAGCAATAAAGTTCTTGAGGGTGTAAGTGTTAAGGACTCTTCTTCTCTCACAACCACACCTCTCACATCAAGTATCAAATCTGAATATTTAATCTGTTGTATCCATTATGCATTCCTTTTCTCTACACTCAGAAGAACTCAATTTTTACCCTTATTATTATCGATTTATTATCTTGAATAAACAAATACAAAGAAATCAACAACAGAAACGGAAATTAAGAAGTTTTTAAAACCACATAATCAATTGTTTGTGATCATTTATTTTATACAGAAAATTATATTGGTCATCTGAAGACGTTTTCAACATAATTTCATCGACCATGTGAATAAATGTATTCGTAAATATCTGTGCTTCTGCTGTGTCATCAATTTTCAATAATAATTTTTTTATATTGAAGAATTTGTATAGATGTAAAATGAGTAACACATTCCATATTTTACTTGGGTGCTTGGTTATACATTTGAAATTTTTTATATTCAATGATAATCGTGTCAAACCAGTCCATAGTTCATCTTTGGTGATATCATTGGAATCATAATAAAGTACTAATGTGTGAATAGTTGACATCGTTGATATTAAACTTTGATGCTGTAGATAGATATGGCAAGGAAGTTTTAATTCGAATAGATTATGGAAATAATTCATGAATGGAATTAGAAATGATGGTTGCAGAGAATTGAAATCAGTAAGTTTTAAAGATTTTATCCGCGTTAAATCAATTGTATGAGATAAATCATTAATCATTTGCAATGAACGCTCATTACTATGATCTGATAAACGATTAATTAAGATTAAAGATTCAGCATTCGAATAATAACGTTGTCCAGTTATTGCATTCGATATTTGATCATATAATTGGATATATAGATGTCGAACATTACTAGTTGAATAGGATTGATCGGGTATTGTTGTTTTTGTGGACAATGTTTCTATATCATACAGAATTGTATGAAAATATTTAATGGGCCATGGTAACGAATAAAAAACAAATTTGATGTCAACATTTGGATTATAGTCAATTGCAAAATACCAACGAGCATCTAGGAAAAACTTTGTTTGAAATGATGATAATATTTCTTTGATGTTAATTGGATGGACTGGTAACTCAGATAACGTGATATCCAGTTGAAAATGCTTTAATACTGAAAATGATTTTAAGAATATTTCCCATTTTTGACCATCGGTATACTCATAAGACCAACATGATATTGCGAGACGTTTTAATTGATGAGATAATGATCGTAGCAATAGTTGTAATTGATCAAATTCTTTTAATATAAACAACAAATAATTAGAAATATCGAGTGAAGAAGATCTGAAGTTTATCGTTTAAGAACGCTTAATAAAGTTGACATGTTACGAACATGAGATTTCATAACAGGGACAAATTTTATTTGTCAACGATCTTTGCTAACTATGAGTATAAATAAGTTAAATGTGCTATCTATGAAGAACTGTTTCGCAACTAAACAGTACAGATAGGAAATCTTTTTTAGAGCAAGACAATTTCATTCATTACCTAACAGTTGTACATATAATTGTAAATCGTTTAAATTCGGTACCAATTGATGAAGATTATTATTCTTGTTATCAATAGATGTTGAATACACATGAGATCTAATGTAGATAAATAGTTTCTTTAGTTTTGGTAAATATCGAAGTAATTCTTTGAATTGTTGGATTCGAAAATATCGATATACACATAAATATTCAATATTTGATACTATATTTGGTAGTTCGATTGTTGAATATGATGGATAATAATAATTTAAAAATAATAATTCAAATTGTTTTAATGAAGGCATGGTGATGAATTGTGAAAATTGGTTTAAATCTAAATCGACTTTTGATTGAATACGTAAGAAAAGTAGTTGTGTTAACGATGGTAATAGAGATAGTAAATAAATAGCATTATCTTTATTTAAATTTTTGATTTTTAATGATGTTACATTTTCTAGTTTTATTTGATCCAGAATACGAATACATGAACATAAATCATCATCGATATCTAAAGTAAACATTGTCAAATTGTCCCGACATTGAATTGTTGGTATCACTAGATTTTGATAATAATCCAACGTTGCTTTTCGTTGAATATTATTTAAATCGATGTGATATAATGGCATTGAATGAATTACATTCTTGAATCTTTCATTTAGATTATACAATGATTGAAACAAATCATGAGCATTCAAATATTCAAATATCATTAAGAATATTTCATTAGGCAATATTTCTTCAAATTGAGATAATAACGACATTTCTCTTGTTGTAATACCACCGAAAAATTCTTTTATACTGTCTTTTCACTTCGAAGAAACATTGTGAATGTGAAGACAAAGCATTACTCAACCAATGGTATACTTTATCATGACCTCTTTCGAATTATTTTTTTCATTTCCTTTTTTTAAGCATTATAAAGGTGTGAATATCGATCACAGATAAACGTATCATATGAATTGTGTACAAATCAGAGATTTCATTCAATATATCATCCTCCGATCTATCGTAATCGATTAGAGATAACTGCCATTCCGCTTTAGAAACGAACAGCTGACTTCGAGAATCAACTATAGTATAATCAGTTATGTGATCTCAAATCACATTGAGTTCCGATGAAATCAACAATAATACTCATTGTTCGATTACAGGAATGTGGATGCAAGATACGTTAAATATCCACACCCACACCCTCACGTTTCTTAATCATGAGATAATTGAAATGATTTATTAAGAATGTTGGTACGTGATGTCTGACTATACAGACAAGAACAAGTGTTTAGAATGTGAGTTATACAAACTATATAAGTTATTTGCTTACAAAAAAAGCTACCGCCTGTCTGTTTTTGTCTTTCATATAAGGAAAGACAATCTCTCAGTAGGTTATTTCATCAATAAATCAAATCCCTTCTAAGTGCATATTCACATGTAACTTAAGAATGACGATTTGTCCTGAATGTTATGGTGTTGGTGAAGCTGTTATAAGCTGTGGATTTTGCGGTTCATATATTTGCGAAGAATGTTATATGCGTCATATGATTGAATGCGCTCCAGACGATGATAATCAAAAATACTTTTTCTCTCTAATTATGAAATTTCTGACTGTACCTCATTGATCGACATTTTACTTTTGCCTATATTTTAGGGCTTCTATGCCGTATGATACAAAATGATTCGATTCTTTTTTTTATTAATCACATACATTATCTGAATTTTAAATAAATCAATCTTAAGTGAATGATATTATAGAAAAAAAGGTTTATTATTATTTTTAGTTTTTATTAACATTGCTTGATAGAGCGTGAGTTACTCATCCCAAAGATTTGATATTTATTTTTCCTAGACACTCTTTTTAAGTAAAAAAATATGAAAAACATCATTTTTATTTATTCTCATGCTTTCCTATCTAATATGAACATAAATTTCCGATGGCAGCAGTACATAGTAACTCACGCTCTATCAAGCCATATGTAAAAAACGTAAGAAAAAAACATTTCACTTGAAGTTTGCATTGCCTGCACCTCATAAAAATTGTTCAATCTAAAATATTCCAAGTATTCAGTAGTAACCCATTGATCATATTGTTTCCAATATCATTAAATATTCATCATAACACTAACCTAAGATGTTCAAATTGTATGCCATATGTTCTAATATATATATACATATCCACAAATTTAATAATCTAAAGTTTTGTCGAAGACATATGTCGCCAATCTAGAAGATACACGCATAGATCGGTGTATGTATACTGTTAAAACTCGTCGGTATTGAATGCATTTAAAAGTAAAAACTCGGCGCTAGTTTTCTTTTTTTTTTCTTTCAAGACTATAGTACTTTTGTTTTTATTAAAAGCAATTCGGAATAAGATTATGTTTGTACTACCTAATGGAAGTTAACAAACAATTATTCCGAAATGCATGTGAAAAAAAAACCAAAAAAAAAATGAAAGAGAGATAATAACAAATCAAAGAGACAAAAAGAAAAAGAAAAACGAAGATGAATGACACGAATGAGAGCCACCGGCAGTAGGTGTTCACATATGACTAGACGGACACATTCTCTTGTGTATAAGACTCTCTTTATGTTGGTTGGTTTGTTTTGCCCACTTGCCGAGAGGCCGTCTTGAAATATTAACTTGGTACAATTCGATCTAAATCTGCATGTGTTAAGATTTTTGAATGCTTATGACGAAATGCTGGTTTAATTAATGATTTCGCATCCATACGTACTTAAACATAACAAAAAGAAATTGTTAATCAATTCTATTTTTTTCTTCTTCTTTTCATATACCTGCATCAATATTTGAAAATTCTTTAGTTGCTAAATGTTGTGAAATACGTTTTGCTAGTGTTTTAAATAATTCCTATAAACAAAAATTGTTTTTTTTTCGAAAAAGAATAAATTAATATATCATACTTTAGATGAAAATCTATTTGCTTGATAGAATGGATTGAGTACATCAACAACAACTTCTGATATTGTTTTAATATTCACAGGAAGCTAAATAAAATAAAATGAGAAACAGTTCGTTTTTTTCTTCTTCAAAATAAATGATTTACTTTGCTATCTCGACTTTTTTTCGATGATGATGATGATGATGATTTTCGATTACTACTTGAAGCAGTAGTAGATGATAATCGTTTATGATTCGATGATGACGATGATGTCGATTGTTTTTTACTTGTTGATTTTACTTTACCTAAAGAATGACTACGTTTTTTTGATGATGAATGTTTATGCTCTTTATTAGAATCAAATGTTCCAGGTGGTAATGGTAATGATTTACGCATCTTAGTAGTTGATACTTCTTTGATTTCATCAGTAGGTGTTTTATCTTGATTAGGATTATTATTTAATAATGAACGAATACGTTCATCTAAACTTGTTTTACGTTGACGATTCGTATTTAATACTTGTTGTTCTTGATCATTGAGGAATGAGGGTGATGATGATGAACCTTGTAATATCATTGGTTCTTCATTGGGTGATTGACTTGTTAAATGAGCAGATGATTGTTCATTTAATTTTTGATGTAAAAAATTCGACATTGATTCTAAACAAGTTTTTAATGTACCACGAGCTTGTTTAGCTTTGACATCGGATGAATTCGATGGTACAGGTAAAGAATTTCGACGATGACGATGATTTGGTGATTGAGATTTTGTATTTGTTAATGAATGATGAAGTTTTTTTGTTCCACCATTTGACTGTTTTATTGTTGGAGGTTGAGGTAATTTATTATTATTATTAGTTCTTAGTTGTTTTGGTGAAGATATTTTATTTGATGATGAACTACTTGATGAACTTGATGAAGATGATGAGGATGATGAAGAAGAAGATGATGAAGATGAAGATGAAGAAGTTGATGAAGCTGATGATGAACGTTTTTGATGCGGTGATTTATTTTCTGTATTTATTGGTGATAATGATGGTTGATTAGATTTTTCCTCGTGTAGTAGTGGTGGTTGTTGTTGTTGTTCGTGATCTGTATGTCCGTTTTCTTTGAGAATCTTTCTTTCGGGTTCAATAGTTTCAGTTTCAGATAGTTTACGTTTTGAAGATGTTGGCGGAGATAATAACAATTCGTTGGTAGAATTTACTGGCATAGTATCAATTATATACAAACTAGCATTATTTTTAGTAGCTTTTGTAATTTCATTACACTAAAAAACAATTCATTTAAGTTTCTGAAACAAAAAAATTTCAGAATTTGATTATTTACTTTCGACATATATTTCATTTTATACATCGGTTCACTTTTTGTTGCTTCAAATACTTGATGTTCAAGCCATACAGCTTTATCAAGACATGTTGTTTCACTAAATAGATATGATTTATTTTTTATATGCATAGAAATCTATTAAATTACTTTGTGAGTCGTTGTGTTTCATCATGTGAAAAATGTTTTTCAATATTTTCAATTAATGCTTCTTGTAATTTTCGACAAACATGTTCACGAAGTTGAATAGTTACATTTGGAATTTTACGATTACTTGGATCAATTAAAGGACAATTAGCACTTACAGCTGTCCAAATTTTTGGTTTATTTTCCATTGCCTAGACCAAAATAATCACTATTTATCGAAAAAACGTTATTTTTTATAGTACCGCTGCACGTCGTTTAAGTTCATCATGTACAAGTTTTGTAGCTATTTTAGCTGTTTCAACTAGATCATCTCGTCGAAAATCATCATCCGTATTACGATATTCACGTTCATCACGTCGATTAGCCGCCCGACCACCTTCATACTGTTCTTCGCTACCTTCATTTCGATGCATAATACGATTTGTTGAACGTCGATTATTTGTTTCATCGATTTTCTTTTTCTATAATACAGATTAAACAATGTCATTTTAAAAGAGAAATTTTTTATTTACTTTCAAATTTTGTAAACTAGTTGCAACAAGTTCACGTTGTGTACATACATCACACATAGTTTCGCATGGTTTTATTAACATATCACCAAAATAATTACAAATAACCAAATGTCGACATCTTAAAAAACATTTTCATATTTTTCTATTTATTTATCTAATACATACTTGGCTTCTTCACAATATTGAACAAGAGCATTAAACCCATTCAGCATTGATGTTTTTTGTTCATCAGAAATTCTCTAAAGATTCAAAAATATTTCATTTAATTAAATAATTTTATTTTACTTTATCGTTTATTTCTTGATTAATAAGAAATAATTGTGTATCACGTTCACGTGCTGAATGATACATTCGACAATTCGATCGTTTTCCATCACGTCCAGCTCGACCAGATTCTTGATAATAACCAGATATAGATTTTGATAAATCCCAATGCACAACAAATCTAAAAAATCTCAATTTAATCTTTGATTTTCTAATAAATATTCATTCTTTACCTCACATCCGCTTTATCAATTCCCATTCCAAAACTAATAGTAGCACAAATAATACTTGTTATACCATTCATCCATTCATTTTGAATTTGTGTTCGTTTTTCATTTGTAAAACCAGCATGATATGCTTTAACTGAACCAAATTGTCCTGTTTGAGTTAATTTATCAGCTAAATCCGAACATGTATCACGTGTACGACAATAAATTATTCCACTTAGTTTATGTATCTATTGAAAACAAAATAAATGTGTTTTTTTTTGTCTAGATATTAAAATGAATATACATCAGTAGTTATTTGTTTAGTTTTTTCTATAAAGTCACATAGATTTACAAAAGGATCATCAAGTAATTCTTTGAATTGAACATCATAAAAAAGATTTGGACGAATTACAGATGATTTAAATTCAAGTATTGGTTGTTTTAAATGTAATGAACTAGATTTAGATGAATAAATAAATAAATGATTATTAAATAGATAAATCAATCAAACCTATAAATATCATCTATCACTTGTTGAGATGCTGTAGCAGTTAAAGCAATACATGGAACATTATTTAATTCATCATGTAATGTACCTAATTTTAAATAATCAGGTCGATAATCATGACCCCATTGACTAACACAATGAGCTATAAATACAAATCTTAGAAATTTCTTTATTTTCAAAGAAATATATTCAAACCTTCATCAATAATAAGATAATTAATCAATTCACGTTGATGAACTTTTTTTATAATCGAAAGAAAACCTTAAGAAAAAAGAGACTAAATGAATTATTTGAATAGAACTTTGGATTTTATTTACTTTGCGTAGCTGCAAGTTCTGGTGTTATATACAATAGTCGAGTTGTTGGTTGTCGTTGCATTAAATCTCCAAGTACAATTTTTTTTTCTTGTTGACTTAATGTTGAATTAAGTGTACGTGCAACAATATGTTTATCATTTAATGCTTTAACTTGATCTTGAATAAGAGCAAGTAATGGAGATATTACAAGTGAAAGACCATCTTCTTTGTATACAGCAGGAAATTGATAACATAATGATCTAATACACACAAAGAAATAAGTTTAATACCTATGAAAATATATTACATACTTTCCAGCACCAGTCGGAAACGAGATAAAAACATCACTTTTTCCTATAAAAATGTATACATATATGATTTTATAGTATTAAAAAACCAAACAAACCATTAATAATTGATAGAATGGCTTTTTCTTGTATATCAGATCGAAATTTTTCGAAACCAAATTTTTTTAAACACTGTTTCACTTTTATTTCTGTCGTCATTGATAATTCATCTTATAGTTGATATAGATCTATTATAAAATAAACAAAAAACATATAAATAGAAATCAATTAGATAAAATATAAAGGTCAAATCATGTGATTCAACTGTGTATTATTTTCTTTTTCTGATGCAATATCTATTGTTTTCCAATAGTACACCTATTAATTCAATGAAAATTTCTTCTAAACACATGAAAGATTCGCTTTTTGACTATGTATACGTAACAGATTTTGTTTTTGTTAGTTTTAATTTAAATCTGAACGGTCATTAATTGAATCGAATCAAATAATTTTTGAAAAAAAGTCATAGCACCATCTATTAAGACATATGATTCATTTGTAATTACATATATGATTGGTTAAGATATACGTTAAGCTTAAAGCGTTTTATATAATAAAGATGGCGTCATATTTCAGAATTTAATCATTTTCAAATAAAAACTAAGGGATTAAATACAATTGTCCGAAGTATATAATATATAAATAACTAAAATGTGATTTGTATTTTCAACTTGTTGAAGAAATGAAAAATAAAAATTATATATTGTGATCGATTTTGTTTGATTGATACCTAAGATTTGATGAAAAGTTATTGATTTTAAAGCATGTTTCATTATAAAAGTTTAAAAATAGAATAAAATACAAGTATTGCATAGCAATCTATTATAGTGGCGGATTTAGGGGTGGGCGGTCACCCGCCTTCAGAAATTGTTTTTGACTTTTTATAGCAAAAATAGGTTCACACTACTGCAGTTGGATCAAAAATAGTTTTTAGCCAAAATCGCCCCACTTCCCCTTACTCAAGAATCGCCCTTCGCTTCCAAAATCCTAGATCCGCCATTGATCTATTAGTCCTTTTATTTGTATTAACTATCAATAATGATATTGTTTGTCAAGATTAGAAAAATAAAATAGATTATACTTCAAAATAAATGTTCTAATTGTAATAATATAGAACTATGTAATTTTCTTTAAAATAAATTCTTATCATTTGATTTTCGAGAGATAAAATACAATCATATGACGACACCTTTCTTTTCTATGTATCTATATTCATCACCAGAATATTCTATTGATTTATTTTTGTCTATTTATATATTTGCATAAATGATTACTATATTGTAATCGTAATAGAATGCAAATACATTAAATTCATACTTCGATTGATTGCATCTGTCAGTCATGTAACCAATGAAAACTTCCGATTAACATCCATGATGATTCATCGTATGATGAGGTCATAGAAGATGGATTGATCAAATACAAGCGTAAATTGAGTTACACGTTTGTTTACGTGTTCATATATATGGGCATGAAGTGATCAATATCTCTTTTTCATTTTATTATAAAAAACCTAATATATATATATTTATATATGTCAACAAAATCAATATTATTCTCAACAAATCGAGATACAATGGTACATTCGGATTTAAATGAACATGAATTGATATCATCAACAATTAGTGAAGATAGTCAAACACCATTGTCAGAAACAGTAACAACATTAGCTAGTAATGTTTATAAAGAATTAGAACGTATTATAAAAAATTTTGGTGAAAATAGTGTTAAAGATTTAATGCCAGTAATGATTTCAACATTAGGTATATAATAATATTGTTGTTCTTTTTTTTTCTATAAAAAATTTTTTTTTTGTAGAATCACTTGATAGTGCATTACATGAACGTGAAGTGAGTAAACTTGAAACGGAATCATTAAAAGAACAAAATGAACAGTTATTTCAACAATATGAACGTGAAAAAAGTTTTCATAAAGAATATCAACAGGTAATTTTTAATTTTTTGAATAAAAGAAACTATCTATATATTTTTTTCTTTCTTGTAAAGCGTTATCTTCAAGTTGAAGATCATCTAGAAGAAATAAAACGAGAGAATGAAGAAAAATTACAAAGTCTAGAATCGATTGTAAAAATTTTCGAAATTAAAGCACGAAATGCATCAGATCATGTTGGAAGATTAGAAGATAAAGAAAATGAAATGAAACAAGAATATAAACGTTTACATGATCGATATTGTGAAGTAAATTATTCATTTTTAATTATTAATAATATTATCATCGATTTTCTCATATATGCATATATATAGCTATTCAAAGCACATTGTGATTATATGGAAAGAACAAAAATTTTATATGGAACTGATCGATTAGATCAACTGGCTACGAAGTCTTCTTCTCGGTTAGTTTAATTATTTATAATGTTCATATATATACTAAGATAAATTGATTTTGTGTAATGTTTTTATCGTGTAAGAATAATTTTCCGATGTCATATTTATTAACATAGCAATGACATTTTATTTTATCAAGATTAAGATATCAGGAGTCGTGACCTGTTTTTTTTCGTATAGTCTTATCGAAATATGTCATCAAAAATTTTTATTACTTATTCTATGACATTATATAGGATATGAAAATGAGACATCGGAAATGTATTATGATTAGAAAAATATCTGCTAGGCATAGTTAATTTGATTATCCATTAAAGTTAGAAACCGATATTTTTAATCTTTCTCTATTTAACAGTGGAAATCTTCAATTACCAACGACAGCATACTCATCCGATGATAAACAAACTCTATCTAATCAACCATCAATTGAAGAAGTACCTCCAAATTCTTCTGATGTATCCTTCACGTAAGTTTTAATTTATTGATAAAAAAATAATTCTATTTTTTGGTTTGTATTAAAGATCACTTAAAAAATCTCTTTCTGGTATGGAATTTCATTCGGTACCTGAAACTACGGATGGTATACATACTCAAACAGAATCCATGGCAAGTAATGATGCTGCTGTAAATACAGGTAAGTCATTTTATCTAAAAAAAAAAACTAAAAACTCTAAACCATCTCACTACATGATTTATATAATATAAATCGGTATTTTTTCAGCTAAATTGGCAAAGATGACAATGATTGATGAAATATCTTTGAAAGAATTTACATCAGGTTCGACAGATATTCTTAAAAATCACACACATATATATTATTGTTGTCTAATCTTGTACATCTGTTTTGTGTTGAGTAACAGAAAAAAAAAGATTTCAATTATTTTATCTAGACTATGATAATTCCTATTTTGATAACTATAAACGTGGTAAGAAAAGTTCATCATAGTATTTTAAAAAAAAATGACTCATGCTTTTTCATAGCAACTATTGCATGAGATCTATAGAAAATAACTAAACCGTTTTTTTTTTTGTTATGAATTTAACTAAACCAAAAAAAAATTGATACGTTCGCTGTTGCTTTGCTTTTGTGTTGTATTTAATTGTATGTCTATGTTGCATGCTTCATAGGAATATTCACGAAATTACGAAGTCTCAATCTTCTATCAAAACCATTTGATGAACAACAGTTTTTCGTAACTGAAGATGATTTTGAACACACAAATAATATCACAGGTGATCCGTATATATATATCTATAATTATACTATGGTTCTTCTTTTTCACTAGCTATGATTAAAATATATTTAGTATTTTTTTAATATTATTTTCTTTTAATTAGACCCTGCAATTAGTGATGATGATGATGATATATCAATAGATGATACGTAAGTTAAGAATACTGTTGCTTTAAAATCAATATTTAACTATTTATAGAAAGAATTTGGAAGCTTTTGACAAAGAAACACAAAATGATAATATTGATATATCAGATGTTGATGCTTCAGCAGATTTATTTGGTAAGAAAAAAGAAAGATGATTAGTTTGATAATTTATTTCTATCGAAATATTTTCCTTCTTGTCTAGTGCGACAAAGTTTTTATGGTGAGATTTTATATTGTACATTTGGAATATGAGCTTTTCTTTGCTTTTATAATCATATATTTTCGACAAAAACAAATATCTAATCTTTGTCTTCATGTTTTTAGGTATGACAAAGGAAGTATCTAATCTGATCAAAGAAAATAATGAACTTTTGGAAACGAAGTATATTAAATCTAAACCATTAAAAAATTTTATTTAATTTATTGTTTTCTTAGAAATGCATTGAATGTTCTTAAAGATGATCTATTAGTCAAAATTGAAGAATTATCAAAGTAAAAAACCAAATTATTCTTAAGAAAAATAATATTACTTCTATAATCTAGTGAACAAGAAATTCTTCGAGAAGAAATTGAATCATTACAAACAGTTAAAACTCGATTACATTCACGGTTTGAAATCATTAATTCTCACGCCAAAAAAACAATATGTATTAAATTTTTTATTTCAGAAATTTAGAAGTTGAAGAAGAACTTCGAAAGATACGCGAAGAAATCGAAAAGAAGAAAGAAGAAGAGGTAAGTGAATTGAAAATCTACCCAAATTTATTGCATGTAAATATGATGTAGACTACTAATATGTAAGTTTATACAAAAAAAACAAGAATTTGATTTTTCTAATCGTTTGATTAATGCTTTTGATTTTCTATTTGAATAATGCATGTTTTGAATTACCATTTCATTGCATTTTCTCAGGAAAATGTACCGACGGCAGATAGAAAGCGTTTTACTCGAGTTGAAATGCAACGTGTTCTTCTTGAACGTAATCAATACAAACAACGTTTATTTGAACTTGAAGAAGCTATGCATCGACAAGATGCTTTACGTGCATCGAAACATGAACAATCATCATCATCAACAACTGCTAATACAACTAATGATAGTTTTTTTGATCAGACACAAAACAAACATAGACCAATGTTTAGAAAACTGTGAGTGAAAATATATAAATGTTGTCTATTCTATTCTATTCATATACAATGATTTCGCATTCTATCTATCTGTACGGTACATTTTTCGTTTTAATTAGAGTTGCATATCTACTAACCCATGCATGACATAACTAAATACATAACGGAATAAATATAATTACATATTATTTTCCTTATAGAAACCGTTAATGATAAGCAAAGGTATACAAACAAATACACATCATCATCATCAACAACAAACCGTACAAGAAAATTCTTCACCTACACCGAAAACAGTTCCTACTACTGTATCTACTGATGTATCTACTACAGATACATCAAAATCTTTGTGGCGTATGTTTAGTGATGACTGGCTACCCACAACGATTGTGCCCTCAAATATTTTGGGCGTACCTGTTGTCGATATACAGAGTGATTTGAGAGAGGGAACAACACAAATTTCTGAGTTGTAAGAATAATAACTAATATAACTAACCGAATTATTTCTAGAAGATACAGATTAATTTATTTTTTTTTCGTTTTTTATCTTTTAGTTTTTCGGGCCTATTCGGTAGTAATACTAAAGAAGCCTCACCAAAACGTTCGCTTCCTACTACTAATACGACAGCTAATCTATCATCAGCATCTACAACAAGTTCTATAAAACGTAGTTCAACAAATGATCAAATTACACCTTCAGTCAGTACAAATGAGAATCTCTCATCAGAACAATCGACAGAAGACAAGTATGAAAAAAATAGACAATTTATAAGAGTTAAATAAATATTTTTATAATCTAGCTCTATGATTTTGAAACAATCATCATCAATACGTCGTAATAGTGATGATAACAATCGTTTTCAAGCATATGGTTGGAGTATATCATCAAAAAATCAATTGAAAGTAGCTGATGTTGATGGTAAAACTCAAGTTAATGTTCCTATACCAGTCTATTGTCGACCAATATTTGATACTAATGATTCAACACAAGTAAAGATACAAATAATTTTTTTTTGTTTTATTTCTATTCTTTAATTCAAAAGATTTGGTGTGCTGTTGGTATTGATCTTAGTGGATTATCATTTGATACTAATGAAACATCCGTTGATCAATTAAATAAACAATTAATTGAATCCTATCATCAAATGATCGATGAACAATGTCTAAAATTATCATCAATTATTTGGTTAGCTTCAAAATTGAATGATAAAGCTATAATTACAATTATTGATTCAAATAAAGCAGAGAAAATGATTGATACATTTCCGATAGGAAATGCTATTATTTATGCTATGGGTAGCGTTCCAGGTAAAAAGAAAATGTTTCTGTTACTTAGTATTTAATTAAAAAAAATCATTTATTTAGGTACATTAACTACAGATTATCCACCAATTGATGATTCGAAATTGAATGAAACAGTATCCACGAGTGGTAATATTTAACTTGAGATTTATCGAAAGAAGAAATATGAATATTTTAGATGTGAAAGTAATAGCTTGTACAGCAGCTTCACTTGCTACTGGTGGAAGTAAAATTTTGTTTTTGTTTTGATATTTAAATAGAATATTAATTTCATATATGTATAGGTCGTCCGAATGTTAGTGAAACATTGGATCAAGTACCACCTGATGTATTGAATCAAAGTAAGATATAAATGAAAAAATAAGGATTTCGAGAATAGATTCTCAGATCGAAACTTAAGTTGAACTTGTCGATTCCTAGTAATAACCTATTATTTCAATAGATTTATATAGATCGGATTCCAATCTCAAAAGTTTTTAAGAGGACATGATTTTTAGAAATATCTTGTATACGTATCCGTGATTCGTTGACTTCTGAAGTATCACTATACAAAATTTTTATAAATTATATTTTTTAGATGCTAATGAAAATAAAACAAAATATCCAACTGTTTGGTTAGGTTCAAGTGATGGATGGTTAGTAGAAAGAATACTGTATATTTTGTTCTATAATTAAAAGATCATTTAGGTTATATATTCATTCGAGTGTGAATGAACATCGTATAGCTATTGGAAAAGTTTGGCTTCGTCATGCAATTTATAGCATTGTGTAAGGAAAATTTTCATAATAAATTCTGATTTGTAGATCTTTTAACTCAATTAGGCATATTCGTGGTCGTGTTTTTGTTGCATTAGCGAATGAAAGAATCATTGTATTTCATCGTAATATAGGTAAATTTATTCTTCAAAAAAAATATTGTTTTCTTATTCGATATATTTTAAGATGGTACATGGAATTTAAATAATCTTCATTTAATTGTAACTGGTAAAAGCCGAGAATCAGTTCGATGTGCTATCAATGTTGAAGAATCTATCTGGTGTGGTGTTGCTAATCGTGTTTATGTTATTAAAGTTCAAACATTAGAAATTCAAGTAGACTCATTCTTTTTTGTTTTCTTTAATAGAATTTTATTGTAATATATTTCTTTAGAAACAATTTGAAGTTCATTCTCGTTCCGAACATTCTGTTCAGCATATGACTTGGTCTGGCGTTGGTGTTTGGTTATCTGTTCGTTTATCTAGTACTTTACAATTATATCATGCACAAACATTTGAACATTTACAAGATGTTGATATACAACCATATGTTGAAAAAATGATTGGTTAGTTCTGAAAGATTTAAATTTAATAATTGATTAGTTTTGTTAATATTTATAGTGACAGAAAAAAAGGGTCTTTATTTTGTTCATATAAGTGCTTTGACAATTGCTTGTCGTCGTCTATGGATTGGTACGGGAAATGGAATTATTATATCAGTTCCTTTAGCAGACAGTAAGTGATATTGTACTTTACTACAATGAATTATTAATTGTCGAAAAGATAATAGTCTTCTCATATTCAATTTCTATAAATAAAATTGACATATATTCTTTACAGGTATTATGTCATCTTCTACTTCAGCATCGACAAAGCCTGGTTCAGTTGTTCGTGTTTCTGATCAAGCATCATCTTCAAATTATATTCCATATTGTAGTATGAATAATGCTCAATTATCATTCCATGGCTTTCGAGATGCTGTCAAATTTTTTGTTGCTGTACCTGGACAAGCACCGTCTGAAATACTTCTCAATGATGAGAAACCTTCTGAAGCTTTAACATCGATATCATCATCTTCACCTTTTGGTGATATTCTTGTTGTAAGCGGTGGTGATGGATACATTGATTTTCGTCTTGGAAATACGACAACAGAGAATACTAATAGAAATACATCTTATCTTACTGTTTGGCATTTGGGTTCGGCTTAATAATTGTATTCTAAATTTCTCTCCTAGTCAACATAATCGATACCTTTTTATTATTATATATACATATATACAGTGATGCATTAAAAACATAATGGATTCTTTATAGCAAAAAAGACTTCGCTTATATTTCTTATATATTCTTGTTGTTTTATTGTATTCATAGTTATTCCTCATGTTTATTCCGCAAAAACAAAAGATTATGTATTGTTTTGAATGTTTAAGCATGTCTTTTAACGTATAGTGATGGGGAAAATAAATTTTCTTTTAAAATTAAGTAGTTAAATCAATATTAACTGATTTATTAATTTTTAAACTATATGTTCATCAAAAGTTTGATCTTGAGGATGCGGGTGGGTGAGTGCGAGTTAGGGTGTGGATACATAATCTCATTGTCATTTATTTGTTCTCATTATTTAACACAAGTACTTGTCCAGCATGGCTGATATTAACAGCTACTGGTTTAGGAAGATAGAATGGTTCACCATCCATTTGTGCAGTCATTGGACAGCAAAGTTCGACACGTAATTGATTACATTGAGCGATTCGAATACCACGAAAGCCAACATGTATTGCAGCCATATGTTTAGTAGTCAATCCAACAACTTCGATTTTTCGATCACCAAAATCTTGTCGATCGAAAAGATCAGTCGAGACTTCGAAGCAAGAAAGTAAACTTGTAGATGATGATTTTCCCCATGGATTTGTTCCGGATGCATAACCTGGAATATTAAGTATAACAAGCGTATGACAATCACGTATGGCATCAGTCAGATCACAACCATCGCATATCAAATGTATATAGGAACCTAGATTCCACATATCTGCTCGAGCGAAGTCTTCGATATATTTGCAACTCTCGTTTAAATACATAAGTTTATTATTCAATGGTGATGAAAACTTGGCTGGATTAAGTGTACGTTCATGATGAAAATCGAGAGTAATAGCGGCATCTAAGCCGAAACTCATATAATTGATAAAGCGTGTGTTCGGTAATTTGTTATTGTTTTGATAAGCATCTCGAGTAGTTTCGCGAACGAATGTTGGTGGTTGCTTGAATAATGTTTCAATTTTTTTTCTAATATCAAAATTATTTTCGGACGGTTTTGGTTCGGTCGAAATCAATGTAGATACATCGAATTCTTCGAGCTGAACTTGCCAGCGATCGAGTACAGCTGTCTGAGCGTCAGGAATTTTTAAGAGCGTATTATAAAGACGTTTTGAATCGTATTCTTCACCCCAGCCTAATACACGTGAAAGATCATTGCCTGTTCCAAGAGGAAAAATGCTTACTGGTGGCTGATTACTCGATGGATAAATGTCAGCTAGACGGCTAAGAACCCAACCAACAGTACCATCACCACCAAAAACACAGATACGAGTATTTGGCAGGGAAGAGTAGATATCGAGAGCATTATTAATGGTATCGTTGTTTTCTAGAAGAAATACTTGACGTGGATTAAGTTTTCCTAAAAGTTTTCGATATAGTTTCTCGCCAACTTGTCCACCAGAACGTTTATTAATAAAGACAATGACAGGTGTAAATGGAAACGAGTTTGATTCAGAACTGTTATTGATCAAATCCGAAGGCAATCGAGCTCGAAAACCTGTTGAAGATTCGTTAGACCGAGTGAGCCACTGTAGTCTAACAATTATATTTCTGTTGAAAAAAATTAAAGTATTAATTTAAATTAGCAATTAGCAATTAAGATAAAAAAACCTACCGAAATATTCCATAATCACATTGTATCTTGTCTTCTTGAGCAGATAGATATTCCCAACACGATCGATGATAACCTGCGGAACACCATAAACAAACGAGACCATTAGAAGATTCCCACATTTTTGGAATGAGTTTTCCTGGTACAGAATTCATAAATGATGTCAGCTGACCGGGAATATTTAAAGCAGATAGAGACGAAAGTGGACTATCATCACTACCAAATAGAGTCGTAGCTACTGATGCACGTTGACATTGCAAGCATGGTTTTGGAAGTATCGACACATCGGACCAGAAATGTTGATCGTATTTCGATGAATTATCATTATCATCAACAAATGACGGTCGACAATGTGGAAGAAAATCAGCTTTAGTTGTCTGTAAATCATCTAAATGATGTGAATGTATGATAAGAGCACATGATGCACAGCGTAGAAGTGTCGACTCATATATTGATTTCGGATTTGTACAAGCAGTGTAGGTACATGATTGAATAGTTGCTACATCATCGGATGTTAATGGAAACCAACAGTGAGATGTAGGATGAGCATGATCGCTCCAATCAACTCCGTATGAAACAGTAGTGTTGCTATCGGACGTCGATGATTTAGACAAAACTGGTTCAGAGACACTGAAGAATAAAAAAAGCACTTTATTATTTTAATCGAATGGTACTTAAGATGCGTACTTTTTCTGATCCGATAAAATGGATGGTTGAGATTCAACTGATTGTTCATTTTGTAACGTTGGGTGTCGATCGTTATCAGATGATAATGGAAACGAATGCAACTGCTCATTATCTATATCATTAATATCTAATTGACGTAGATTATCTTCGAGTGGACGACTATTAACAAGTTTTTGGTTACTCTGTTCAATATCATTTGATGGATTGATCTTCAACGTTGTATCATCAGTGTTTGAATGAGGTATTGATTTCTCATCAGTAGAAAGAATCGATGCGATTGGTACGTCAGATGGTAATGTAGTCATAATTGGTAGTGAAGTTTTTTCTGTGAAGATTAATCGAATATCTAAAATCACACTTATCAAATGAAAAGCAATCATGAAAAAAAAGTTATTTTTTTTTGTCAGGAGAATGTGTGACGGTAGTGGGTGTTAAATGGATACAGTACTGACTTGCAAATACTATAATTGGCCATAAACGATATCATGAAGGGGGTAGATAAGGTCTTATCTTCTGTTATTTTATCATAAAGATGACACCATCATCCAGACCTAGTAACATATTTCAAATTAGTGCGAAAAACTAAATACTTCCAGAAAAGTTTTCTTTTTATTAAATGGATCACTTACAATCGTACATAGAGTTCAATAAACACGATAGATAAAAGTCAGTTTTATATTGATTCAAGGCTAACTTCAATTTAATCGATTCCAAGCGAACAATTGCAACTGCAATTAATTCATTTCAATTCATACTTCTGTAATAAACAAAAACACATATTGACGAAGAAATAGAGGCGTATGTTGATCGACAAAATTACACATGTGCACATTTTACTTCAATATTTGTGCTGCTCGTTCTCCTACAACGTCATGAAACAAGCGTAGAAAAGACTCTCACCTGAAACTGTAATGAATAGAACGAAGAAGCACCGAAAAACATTCTGCGATTAGATGTTCGTTCTGTTAGAGAGCACTCTAACAATGTTCGCTTTATTCTTTCTATCTTGAAGGTGTGAGGAAGAATGGAGAAAAACACACCCACCCTCACGATGATAGATACATTGTAGATCTAAGATTTTCGCGTAGACAATTTGCATAGTACAATAGCGTCATCTATCAGTCATAAGAATAATTGATTGAATATATTTTGTAAAATAACCATCCATTTTTGTTGCGAAAGAAATTTCTCGTCTTCATCTTCTACACTCATTCGACATTTATTTATCTTCATCTTCAATAATTATTACAACAGTGTACACACATTTCAAATACTAATTATCAATTTTTCTAGATCGCATCGTTGATTTCAATTAAATAATGCCAACTCGGTAAGCATTTTTCCTATATTTATCCTATTTTTTCTTCTAAAGTTTGTTTTCTTTTTCTGTAAAAATCCGTTTTGTCTTTCTAATCATTCTTTTTTTATAAACTATGTGTTCATTTTTTTTACTATATATATTCGGAATGAGAAGCGCGCCCCATTCTTATTTTAGACGATCATCATCATGCAACAACATCATACTATTATGCTGAATATTGTTACACAATCGACTAGCAAATCTGATCATCAATTAATACTGGTAAGAATAAATCTTATTTTTTCTTAATGATATATTCGATTAGATTCATACAATAGAGACTTATAATTTCGAAACTTTCTATATAAAATTATTATGTAAGAATTTTAAAATAGTACTTTCTCATAAAAGATTGACATGCCTATAGGAATAATTAGAGCATATCTAGATCGATAATAATAAATTACCACTAATAACGAAGAAGTGTTTATTATATCGAAAGAACAGCAAGCCTTATCAAACTAATAATATACAGCTTTAAAATAAAAGATATTAGATGAAATCTTAGTTATGAAGATCTTATACTAGATTCAGATAAAGAATCTACCATTCAAGATGATTTGCAGTAATATAGCTAACATCAAACTTAAGAGGTCAGGAAAATAATCTAATAAGATCTTATTAGTCAATAGTTTCAGTTTTTTATACTTTAAATCATGAGTGAAGAACGTCATTAATAGATTTAATGGATGGTATTCGAGCATATGTTTTAAATTATTGCATGTTATGATCGAACGATCTAAGGATAGGATACACAATTCCTATTTTGTAGACGATCTATATACCTTCGACATTACAATGTACCTTAGGATATTGAAATAAGAGATTTTGAATTCAGAATAGTTTACGACACAATGTTATTAAATTCTTTTTCTTTATAGATCAACTAAAATGTCTACACATTCAATATGATCAAATTTTAGTAAATGAATCTTCATTGTTTTAAATATCCGGTCTACAAATCCAATATCAATGAAAAATAAACAATAAATCTTTTTTTTTATCTTGTTTCTTTTTTTTTGTTTTATATTTGTACACATTATTTATAGTTATTTTTTCTTCAAATCAATCTCTAATTCTTGTAATTTTTTATTCAGAAAACGATCATCGAGTTCATCATCATCCGATGCATCTCCAGCACATCGTTCATCACATCGATCAACTAGTGAACGAGATAAGAAACGTTCGCGACGTTCATCTAGTCGAGATAAACGTAAACGCGATGGAAAATCATC